ACTACACTGGAGAAGGGCTCATGGCTCCAGAAGGGTACAGAGAGGAAGCTGTATTAGCCAGGTTCCCACTGGCAGAACGAAGTGCCTGACATACACAATTTAAAGGAGAAAAGGTTTTATTTGGGATCATAGTTTCAAGGGTCTTAGTCCATGATAAGAAGCATCATGATGAAAAGGTAGAGAGAAAGAAAGCTGCTCACTTCATGACAGCCAGGTAACGGAGAGACAACAAAGCCAGAGACCAAGATCATGTCCCCTTTGTCTACCCACAAGTGTGCTTTTCTAGGTTCCTAGGCATCTCTGAAGCCAGTCAATTGATAATCCAGGTTAAACATCACAGAAGTTAAATTGTGAATCACAATTTGGCTCAGAAATTTCTCAAGCTAGTTCCACCTACTCTGTGCAGCTCAGTCACCCTGATCCATGGTGAAAACTCAGTGAGTTTCTCCCCATAGCTACAGATACTGCACACCATGACCTACCCACTGTGCCTGGCAAAAAACTTGTGGGCAGAATATATATTATTGTTCTGAAAAGTCAATAAGCACACTCATATCTGAGTATGAAGCATGTGTATATGTGTGCATGTGTGTGTGTTATTCATTTTATAACTGGTACAATCAGAAGAAAACATCAGAACTTCACTGAGGTACATAAAAAGAAAAGTCACGTAATAAATACCCTATTTCTGGATGAAATGATCACCTTAATACTTCAATGCCTAGTATTCCATTTTCAGAATGTGGGACATAATAAAAATTTTTCACTTAAAATTCTTGTTACTTAAATTTTTTGAAGGAGCATATTTGAATTACATGAAAAAATTTTAAAACTGCAGTTTTTGAAATAAATGGGTCAGTGTGTTTAGCTCTAGAATTAATTTATAAACTTAGTACAATTCTAAAGAAAATTTCCTTTGAGCAATAGCTAAACAATTCTATAGTTTATTTGGATGAGAATGTAGGTGAGAATAATATAAATATGTAAAGGGTGAGTTGTGAGATGTAAATGTACTGATATTAACATTTATTTATTTTTAAATTTTATTTTGAAAGTAGTAAAATATAACAGAACAAGACTGAATAAAGCCAACTAAGATTGTATAGTGAAATTGGTACAGAACTTCACAGCAGGTTACCGGGATAACAGTAATAGGTATCACAGTATATTTTGTTATCTTTACAATGGTTGTTCTTTCAATCACGTATATCAAAATAAAAGGAAATACAGAACATTACAGAACTTATCAAAGCAATATGGAATAGAGCAGTACCATTAATCAGAATAGAGAAAAACAATAATAAAATATTTGCCTTCAAAGAAATGGTAGAGGGAAATCCCCCTTATTTGCTATGGTCAACCTCCCAGGAGATGCTCAGATTTCTGGTTCCCATTTGCTAATACGGGGGGGGGGGGGACAGAAGAAGGCAGGTAAGGAAAATGGGATGTTTGACTCTAGTCTGTGCACCAGTAGGTTCACTATTGCTTAGCAGGGAGGCAGGCTGGTTGCTCGGTTTCCCAGCTTCATAAGTTCCAACATGATGTGGATCTTAGAAGAACTGGTGGTTCTCCCCCTGGAGGGGCAATAGTCTGCCACATTGCAGCCACTTACCAGGAAGGGGAGCTGCTTGCTTGGTTTCCCAGAGTGCTAAGTTCCAACATGGCATGGATCTCAGGAGATACTGGTGGTTCTCCCCCTGGAAGGACCGCAGCAGGCCACACCTCAGCCACTTACCAGGGAGGGGAGGTGCTTACTTGGCTTCCCAGAGTCCTAAGTTCCAACATGGTGTGGATCTCAGGAGCTGCTGGTGATTCAACCCCTGGAAGGGCCATAGCCCGATATTAGCATTTATAACAAAGTAATAAAATTAAAACTAGAAAATGATTATGAGAGGCTGGGGATTTAGCTCAGCAGCATAAGTGCCTGCCTTGCAAGTGTGCAGTTATAAATTTGATCCGGTACCAAAAAAAAAAAAAAAAAAAAAGATTATGAGAGCAGTAATAGGTAATGGTGGGTAGTAGGAGCAGGTTATAAAAACAAAAAGATGCTAAGGCATGTTGAAATTTTGCCTCTTTATAAAAGAAGAATTTTAATAGCTTTCAAAATATTTATTCATTTTTTAAAAAATCCCTTCCTTGTACAACACAATAAAGTTCCAGAACTAAACATTAAACAGAGAAACTAGAATTAATTATGACAAAGGGAGATGAATATTTTAGAAGTTTAGGAGAGCCTTCATAACCCATTGGAAGGTAGGAAACATAAACAAAGAGTCTTTAAACAGGGTACATAAAAATTGTTCAGTTACTGTTCATGGAAGTCCTACCACAGATAAGTCCATCAAAGAAAAAACATATAATGTATACAATGAGTTTATTTTCTTACTATATAAAGAACTCTTAAAATTCTATAAGAGAAACACCATATGTTAGTTTCCTGTGGCTGCCTAACAAATTATCACAAACTGAGTGACTTCAAATACAGAAATTCATTCTCTCATAGTTCTGGAGGACAGAATTCCAAAATCCAGAGGTTGGCAGAGGCACACCATCTCCAAGGAACATAATCCTTCCTTACCTCTTCCAGCTCAGGCAATGTGAGAAATCCCTTAGCTTCTGTGTGTGTAGCTCTAACTCCTGCCTCCACCTTCATGTGGCCTCCTCTATGTTTTTGTTGTCTTTCTGCTATCTTTATAAGGATATTTGTCATTTGATTTAGAGCCCATCTGGATGCATAATGTATCTCAAAATCAATATAATTATCTTTTTTCCAAATAAAGTAGCATTCACAGCCTCTGGAGATCCCCCTAAACCCACTATAAAACTCAATACAAAATGGGAAGGCATAAATGTTCCCTAGAAAAGGACATTTAATTTGCTAGTAATTAAATGTAACTTACAATCATAAAACACCATTTTCCCCTATACTCAGCAGCTAATTTTCAAAATTGGTAATTGCACAAGGAAGTAGGGCACTCATACATGATCCTAGAAGTTATAAATCATGGCAGATTTTCTGAAGGACAATATGATTTCATAAAGTCAAAAGGGAGTTTTCATCTGATGTCAGCAATTTTCAGTACACATAATAATAATAAAATAAATTAAGCCTAAATGTTCACAACAGTGGGTAGGTTAAATGAATTATGGTACAATGTAGATAGGATAGTAGATGAGTAATTTAAAAGCATGAGAAAATTTTCAGTGTTCAGCCGGGTTGTGAAAGTGTCAACCTCTGGGTTAACATGGTAGATTGGGCACATAGTAATTTCTCTCTCCCCAACCTTACCCCATCATGTCTGGATGGCATTTCAAAATCCCATCTAGATGAAAAAGACCTGGCCTCAGAATAAGAAAAAGGTTCTCAGACCCCATAGTAGCAAAGGAAGACATTAGTACTGTGTCGAAGCTGAAACAGTGCTTGCTGAGTTGTAGCCAATGTGTAGTCAGAAGGCAAGCTGGTAGCCAGAAACACACCACCCATTCTCCATCTGGGAGAAGGAAGAGTCCCAAGTGCCCACCATAAACAGAACTGGGAAAACATCACCAACCTGGGAAGGAGACCTGTGCGTTTGAGCTTGTCTGCATTCTGGAAAAACTAGGTCAGCAGTTTGTTGACCCTAATGGGATTCTAACAGGGGCAAACTCAAAACCCTGTAGGAAAAAATAAACAACAGCTCACTCAGGAGACAGAGTCATATTTTAGATCTATTACCACTCTTGGACAAATGGGAAGTTGCTGTCCCCTGGCCAAGTGTCCTGAGCATTTTCCAAGATGACTTTGTAATAACGGTTTGAACTTACTTTTTCCTGTAAGTCTATATAATTGGCATTACTGCAGACTGCAGTTGTAAGAATTCAAAGTGATCCTGTAACCCTCAGTCAGCTTCCCCCAATGGCAACGTCCACAGTCATCTGATTTTAAACAAGCACTTTAAACAAATATGCTTACTTACCATGACTTAGGAACAAAGATGAAATATCTTCTTTATTTTAGAGAGATTCTGAATTACAAGACCAAGTCTCTTCTCTCAAGGGTTTAGAAGTTTAACCAGAGCTTCAATTTTGAGGATGAGGAATCTTGAGTCAAATAAAGAAATTCTGTGTGCACCTGCCTTGTTTTGTGCTGGAATTAAAACTAAGACTTTTGAAGAAAATTCTTAACTGTAAAGGCCTTTTTTGTTTCTCATTGCTTAAGAAATTAAATTGCTTAGGAGGGAGAGTGGTCCACTTTATAGGCATAACCATGACACTGAGGACTCCTTGAGTGTTGCCTGTCACAGCAGGGGCTTCCACACAAGGACCTTCAGGCCAGTGGGGAGGTGTCTGTGCCTGAAGATAAAAGCAGAAAAGCCAGGTGTGATCAGTTTATTGGCTGTGTAGGAGGAGAAGCTGATGTGTCGTGTCTGACATGAGCGACCATCTCATAGATAGGTAGCATTAGGTTTTATTTCTTCTGTGAAATGTTTTAATTTTGCTGTTAGCTTCTAAAGCAAGACATATCACCACCTCCAACATTGGTTGCTGTTGTTTCCGAAGTCTCCATCCTTTACCTCTTTTTTCACCTCCTTTTCACCTTATTTTACTGTTCTCATGGATCCTCCCATTGCTCCTGGCCTCCCTTTTCCTTCCCTTCAGTTCTCCAAAGAGGAAGAAAAGAGAGAAGAAACAGAAGCAACCTTATTAAAGCATTTTGTAAAAAGCCTTGGAATTGCAATCTTTAATTTTGTGTTGTCATCTTCCTAAACACAGGCCTGTGAAGGGCCCTGCTTGTATGATAGCTCAGTGCTTGTAACAGTAACAACAACAGCAAACCTATCCCCACTACCCTGCGCAGTGACCACCCATCAGAAGGAGGCAAGGTGGGCAGTGGGTGTGCACAGGGAAACCTAGAAACACACCTTCTGAGGTTGGTCCCTGGGGCAGTGAAGAGAAACAGAGATAGATGGTGAAAAACACATGGAAAGCAATAACATGTATCCCTCCCCCTTGTTTTACAGTTCTGTTTGGAACCCCGCATGGACGATGCTGTGAGTTGAGTCCCTGAGAATTAGAATAAGTCACACCTTCTCTGTGGTCATCAGCTGTGTTAAGATGGAAGAGGCTTACAAAGATAGGACTTCACTGATGAAGGGGGCCAAGGACATTGCCAGAGAGGTGAAGAAACAGACGGTGAAGAAGGTGAACCAGGCAGTGGATCGAGCCCAGGACGAATACACCCAGAGGTCCTACAGCCGGTTCCAAGATGAAGACGAGGACGATGACTATTACCCACCTGGAGAGACCTACAACGGGGAAGCCAATGAGGATGAAGGCTCCAGCGAGGCTACTGAGGGCCATGATGAGGAGGATGAAATCTACGAGGGGGAGTACCAGGGCATCCCCAGCATGGGCCAAGGGAAGGATGACATCGTGATGGCAGGGCAGCCCAAGGGGAATGAGTACAAGGACCGTCAGGCGCTGGAGTCCGAGAGGAGGGCTGACGAGGAAGAGCTGGCCCAGCAGTACGAGCTGATCATCCAGGAGTGTGGCCACGGCCGCTTCCAGTGGGCCCTGTTCTTTGTGCTGGGCATGGCGCTCATGGCGGATGGCGTGGAAGTGTTCGTGGTGGGCTTCGTGTTACCCAGTGCAGAGACAGACCTGTGCATACCGAATTCAGGGTCTGGATGGCTCGGTGAGTGCTTCGTCATGTACACTAATTCTGACTTGGGTATCATTGAGCACAGGGATCACTGCATGAAATAAACATTTTTCCTCTACATCATTACATTTTTCAATAAAAGTTTTATAATGAAAAGGTTCAGAATACACAAGAGTCAAAAATAATTGTACTGTGAGCACCAGTACAGTGAGCTACCACCTGATTCTGTGGTTAACATTTATAATAGTTTCTTCATCATCTGTCATAGACCTATTTATCCATAAAGCCAATTTATTTTGATGCATTTTGATGTTACACAAATGCATTTTAAGTTACACTATTATAAGTCATGTACCACTTAATGACAGAATATATTCTGACACATGCATTTTTCTGTGATTGTACCTTTAGGCAAAGATCATAGTATACTTACACATGCATGGCTAAGATACCATTAGGGAGTATAACCTTATGAGGCCACTGACACATGTGTGATATATCATTGGCCAAAACACTGTTATTGATATGTTGGTGGGTGGGATGACCAAATTTGCATTGGTTTCTTCTTTATTAATGCCTTAAGAAAAGTCTTTGAAGTTTATTTGGCACCTTTCTAAAAGCAGAGATTAATTCTATAAAACTCTTGAAAAAACATGATTTCAAAATATGATTAATGTGTAATGAAGTGGTTTAAGGATTTTTAAGACTTTGCTAATTTTTGTTTTTCTCATAATCTATTTGAATGTTTGCTTTCTGTTAGCTTTATTTGTAGAATTTTTTCCAGGTGACTTTTTAAAGATATCATTTTCAAGGTTTGTACTTTTGAGCCCAAGCTATAAAGATTTCAGTTCTCTATATGATTTTAAATCTGTTTTAAATTGCATTAATATTTAAATGATATATGCTGAAAGTAACATGCCCTCTCTATGAAGTATCCAGATGGCCTATTTGATTTGTGTGAACATTACTCAAGGCTGTTGTACCGAGGAGGCTCTAGTTAGACTCCAGGTCTGTCTAGGTGAACACAGCAAAGCTGGGACATGTGTGAATGGTGCCACTGTCACCCAGTCCAAGTCCCCTGCAGGTGCTTGGTACACTAATCAGAGATTTCAGACTCCTCCTCCACACTGCCTCAGAGGACATGGTTTGGGTGTGTAAAATCTTTATGTGTTTTGGAGTCTGTCAAACAAAGTAAAAATAGTATCTGTCTTTCCAAGAGACTTCTTTCAACTAAAGCTTGAAAAACAAAAGTACCCAATAATTCTTGTGCAGACACAGTAACTGGATTGAGTAATGCTGACATCACTGTTGCTGAGATATTATCCTTGTGATTAAAATGAAATGTTGTTTCCTGACTTTCAGAATGTACAAGAGAACTAGTCATAAGAGCAGAAAGATTTATATCATTTTATTTTCTTGTTATTGTTTGTTCTGTGGACACTCAAGTGCCTTCTATAAAATGGCATAGTACAGCACTTGTATATACCCTTTGTGTATCCATCCATACACTTTAAATTATTTCTCAATTGCTTATCATACTTAATACAACGTGAGCTATACATGTAGTTGCTATATTGTATTATCTAAAGAATAATAACCAAAAACGTTTGTCTTTTTTAAAAAAATCACCCATTCCTGTGGCTTGTTTCTTCACACTTAACTAAAGGAAGTGGACCCACAAGTGCAGACTCAGATGGGTGAGAGGTGGGAGGTGGGGTGCTTAGGTATTTCTGTTGGTGGTCATTTGTGTGTCCAGCTGTCCATGTGCAGACCTCACTGCACCACAGAGAACTTGGCCATTCATCACAGTGACCAGTCCAGCAGATCTGTTTTCATATAGCACTGTGCTTTTTCCCCACTTTGGCCAGCAAGTACATCAGTGTAAGCCGGGACGTCTGAAATTTGTCAAGATTCTGCTAACAGAATGTATCAGTAGAGTATTGCCAGAAGGGAGATTCTTAGAAGTGTGTTCACACAGGTAGTTAATAGTTACAGGCTTCAATTTAGAATAAAACTTTCTTTGTGTTCTGATCCTGGCTTTTACATTGGGAACATTACAGCCTCCTTTACGCTTCTCCCTGCTGTAAAGCAGGAGTGCCTGTTCCATGGGCAGCTCTTATCGGGCCTTCAAGGTGTGACACGCCCGCAGGTGGTTGTTGGCAGTATAGATAAACTACAGAACAATAGGTGCCCAGATTTTTTCATCTGCCAGTAAATGTCGCCTGCTTTAGTGAATTAAGGCTGTGTCCCCAAGAGTTACAATTTCACTCCATGTTGAGTCCTCAACAGAAGCATTTTAATGATTTCACAACTGTGCCTTCCAGACTTGCATTTCAATTATTTTGCCATTGTAATTTCACTCATTATTGCATTCTAACGGGGTCTCTTTAGACAAGCATTTAAATTGTTTTGCCATTTTCATTTCATCGGATAATAGCTTTGTAATATAATTACCACACTACATCACAGCAAAGGGGTCAAAATCAAAGAAGAAAGACATGTGACCCAGGTTTAGTGACATTTTGTGGATGTGGATTTGCAAAAATAATTTTTCATTTGCTACTGAGCATTGTGCATTTCCCTCCAGGGAGACTGGGAATAAAAATAAGACCCAGCTTATGTTTTAATTATTTGGGAGATTGAGCCTCTCAGTGTATTTGCCAGAAGGTTGACTTAGAGACAGCCAAGGGCATTCCATGGAGTCATGTGTCTGTGAATATGCACAGCAGCATTAACTGGGATGGAAGAAGTTAAAGTAAGTATTTAATTACTTAATGAATGCCATTAGGATGATACCTCTCTTATTCCAAAGTCTGTTTATTAAGCACTTATGGTACGCAAAGCACCATGTAGGACCAAAGGAATAGTAGGACTGGTTAGGAATTAAAGAGACAAGGTCTCAGTCTCCAAGGAAGTTACACTCTAGAACTGAGAAATCAGAAATATGTAAAGATGACCAGAACAAGGAAGCAAATATCATGTATCAAAAGCAAAGTGTAAAGAGAGAAACTTCCAGCACAGGAAACTGGCTAACCAAAAGGGCTCTGACGGAGGAAGGAAAGGACAGGATTTGGGAGCTGCTCCTGACATAGCGTGGATTGGTTCAATGATTACTTTAGAAAGGAGAAGAGACAATCAGTTAATGAAAGGAAAGTAACTCTTCAGATGAGGTGATTCAGAGTGCAACTTGAAGTAGGCAAGAAGATGAGGCGCGGTGTTGGAAATGGTCATGATGAGGCTGGGGTTGAAAAAACAGGGTTGAAAAGGGATGTCAACCAGCTGCGCCCCACTGGGGTTGAAAGCCCAGAGTGGGGAATCATCTCATTTCAGATGACAGCGCCAGCGAACATAACCATGCAGAAGGTGCTTACAGCTGAGCATGGCTGATGGGGCTGGCAGTAGAAGAAGGTGTCCCTTCTCTGAAGAGGAAGGAGAGACCAGTCCAGAGGACAGAATGCAGAGGACAGTCCAGAAGCCTCGAGAAGAAGGAAGGGAAGGCACCTAAGACTCTTAGGTGCTGTAGAGTCTTGCAGCAAAGACTTAGACCAGCCTCCTATTTCTGGCAGTTAATTTATTGGCTGCTTCACATGGTGAGCAAGGCTGGATGTTTTAAAGTCAGTACACTGAGTGAGGTAGCACAGAAGCCTCCAGATTTGCAGTTTTGGGTGGCAAAGCAGAGCTCTCAGCAGGATGCTGTATCTGCCCTGAAGAACCATGATAGATGTGGCTTTACTCCAGGACCAGGGAAGGCACAATTGGGTTCAAAGTCAGGAAGGACTGGTGACCTTTTCAGGACCAGCCCTGCCCTGGCTCTAGCTCATGAGAGCAGAACAAGCAGCTCACTTGTCATTTAAATTTTTCTCTACCTCATTTCTGTCCATTTCACATCAGAAATTAAAGACAGGATTAGGTCAGGAGGATTGAAGGTGAACATGCATATATGAGTGGCACTAACACAGCCACCAGACTAATCACTAGAAGCGTGAAGTCAACCAGGAGGCTAACACAATAGCCTGGACCAAAAAATGGGTGGAATCCTGAAAAACAGTCAACTGTTTGAGGAAGGCATTGAAATTGGGAGACAAATAGAAAACTGTGCTGAACAGGAAGGAGGAAGGTAGTGGAGGATAAATGCGAGGAGGTTGACACGGTAACCAAGGTTGAAAGCAGAGGAGGTTGAGCAGAGCGGGAGGCTGCTGAGTTCATCAGGGAGGCGTTGGTCTCCAGGTGAGAGACAGATTAGGACTGAGAAGACTCTGTGATTCTGAAAGAGAGGCTGAACAGGCAGAGAACACAGCTAATCAGGAGGCAGAGAATGGCGAATGGAAGAGTTCAGCAAGGGGTGAGGGGTTTAATTGCCCAGCATAAAACATCTTTTAAAAAGATGTTGTAAGGTGTGCATGCCTGTAATCTTAGCACTCAGGGAGGCTGAGGCATGAGGATCTCAGATTCAAGCCCAGCCTCGGCAACATAGTGAGACCCCGTCTCAACATTAAAAAAAAAACAAAAAAAAATTTAAAAGTTCTGGGATGAAGCTCAGTGTGAAGAGCCTGGTGCAATCCCAAGTACTGAAAAAATTATAGTCCTTTGAAAGCATCCCTTTCCCCCACCCCCATTCTGAATCAGTGGACATTTTCAACACTTGCTCTTTGTCTTATCTGGACGCGCACTTGGTGGAGCCCTCTTTGGAGACAGGATGCTAGAATGGTGGGGAGGGGATCTCCCAGCATCCTTCCTGCTGCCTCCCCAGGCAGACTCACAGTCTTCCACTCCTAATAGCGCAGTTTAGGTGAATACAGGATCCCACGTTAATCAACCATCACAACGCCTCTTAACTCGGTGACTGTGGCTTCTGTGCAGCTGTTACTAGTCAGTGTTTGATGGAGCGGTATTCGCGGAGTGGCTGTGCTGCGGGAGACCCAGGCTGTGGCACTATGAGACTGAGACACTGAAGTCATGGTTCCTGTGGTCAAGGGCTCAGGCTGGCTCCCCACCTTTGGTGCCTCAGTGATGGAGCCTGCCTTGGAGTCCTG